GAATGCAACTTTCAACTGTTTAAAAGTTTACTGCATAAAGCAAGCTAAAGGTTAAATATTATTCACCATATGGTATCCATGCTGAGAAAGCCTTACCTTTTAAATGATAAAAAACACAACAACAACAACAAACAAGTTCGCTGCATTAAAGATCTAGTAATACACTCATTTTTAAGAAGACAGCAGATTTGTGTACTTTATATACCTGAAGTTGAATTGTGTTCCTCAAAATTATGTTTTCTATAGAAAGCAGTTAAGTACTCCAAAAAAAACCTTTCAATAACCTCCTCACTTAAGGGGGGGGAAGTGGAATGTCCTTTTGTTAACAACTCTATGCATGTATAAATGCTTTGGTCTGGCTAGAGTTTTCAAGAGTCAACATGTATACACAAAACAGATTGTATACATGTTCCAGCTAAAATAGTTACAGACCACTACGGCTACTATAAATAAGTACTTCAAAATATAAATTAACCTTTGGAGGCCTGGAAGACATTTTTTAAACCGCATTATTGCAAGGAAGTAGAGAAACCCTATCTGTCTGGTGAAGAAAAGACCAAAACAAATGGCCAAAAAAAGGAAAAAAAATAATTAGCCGTTCATTTAACCAGGGAAATGCATTTATGGCGATTGAGCATGATTAATAATGCATACCTCTACCTGCGACCCTGGGCTGCTCCGAGCCTCGCTGCAAGACTGAGTCAATCCTGCTAACGAAACAAGAACTGAGACAAGAGTGCAGTGAGGAGGCGCCAGGTGAGCTCCCCAGCACAGCCAAGCCAGCACCGACCCTGCCGCAGAAGCCCAGGGCCCAGATATTCTAAGTAAGCCCAATGCACAGGTGCCTGAGACCTCTTACTCCTGACTTCCTGATGGGAAAATTTCCAGGCCTTCTGTACACCTCTTGCACTGGAACCTCTCCACCCTCAACCCTCCCATTTCACCCAACACACGCACTGACCATTTCCCTGTCTGGATCGGATAGCGAGTAACAACAACACGAGGCCAACAGTGAAGTCATTAAGCGCCCGGCCCAGGGTAAGCGGCAGAAGCACCACCAAGTTGGCGCCAAGTAGATCCACGTCAAAAGGAGTAATTTTAGAGCTGTAAACTGGTGAGGCTTCTGTTGCTCTTTTCTCCTCTTCCCCACTCCTCCTGCCCAACTCTTACCATGGGCTGGCAGAAGACTGGGGGAGGAGAGATCAAGTGGCGGGCTCCCCCGGCCCTAAAAATCTGCAAAGGAAACAGGAGGGCGGCCCCAGTCCTACCCCTCCCTGACAAACTACAGGCCGCAGCTCCCCCATCTGCTCCACCTTCCCCCATCCGCAAATCCTCAGATCTCCGGGGGGCCGCCTCCGCCCCTTTCCACCTTATCCCCTCTTCCGAACTTACCCCAAAGCCCAAGGCCTAAACGCTTCGTACCTTAAAGTAGATCTCGTCCACCACCTCGTGGTAGGTCTTGAGCTCGTAGAGCTGCACTTTGAAGTAAGGCGACGACAGGATATTGGTCAGGATCATGGGGTTGAGGTTCATGGTCTTCTCGTTGCCCCAAAGCGGCAGCACATTGCCCTGCTTCCCCGAGCCCGCCGGCTTGGTGGCGCCGCCGCCGCC